ACAAAGGTATTGTTTCTGCTTCATTTTAGATATCCAGTGCTGAACATTGCACTCCGTTATCACGTTACACTGTTAGTTCAAATTCTAGATTACAGGAGTGTAAAGAGAAGCAATACAGCTTACATTTATGAAAAGAATCCTTTTTTTTGGCAACAAAATTGCTTCTTCTCATGACATAGTTACTGCACTTACCGAATCCAGGAGTTTTGTTTTGACTGTTAGAATCTCCTCCCTTTCCCCTTTTAAACGTTTTTATGGAAGCTTCTAGCACGAAATCCTTACTTGATAGCCTTGGTGGAAATTAGTTATGCTATAAGAGTCCTCAGAGGGGAAGTAGCAAGGTTGGAATGCAAATATTAGAAGGTAGTGTATTAGTACAATCTATGACAAAATAAAATTTTTTACCGAAGTTTTTAACCAAGATATTGCATCTTTTCCAAAAAATTTTAGGACTACGAACCCCAGGCAGAGCATTCTGAAATGTTCTCTTTGTTTTTACAGATTCACTCCAGTACTACCTTTTCCCGGTCTTATTTCGTTCAGAAACAGATTTTAAAGATGAAAGCTTCATTAGCAGTGAATCAGGACTTCAAATATACAGTCCATGGATGACTTGCATGAAGGAGATCCCAGATTCAAATATCTATGGCTGTTTCTACTTCAGATGGTTTCACCTACGGGCCCACCATGGCCCGTCCACTCTCCTGGGTGGATATTTATAACGAATGAACGAATATTATAAAACAAGATTTTTTTTTTATCATAGTGCTTACTTCATGCTCTAAAAATGATTTGGTAAACAAAATTTTGTAATATTCATTCAAGAGTCTAATGCAATAAACTAGAAGTCAAGAATTTAAGTATTGTAGAGACAAAAGAGTGTATACTGATAGTCAATTTTAGGTTCAAGTAAATAAAGAGAAGTGTGAATAGAGTAATAACATTTCTCTCCCTGACCATTACATAACTGTATAAACCAAACCTAATCAAACTTAGGTTGTGTAAGCTAGTTAAATTGTTATCATTCCATACTAGGATAAATTTGGGTGTTTATATCAGTAGCATAGCTCACTTGAGAACTGGTGGTGTCGGTCTCGTCTCTAGAGTATATAGCATCACCTCTTTGGTTTTGCTGAGTTTTAATAATCAACCATAAATTTATTTGTGTGATTAATACCAGAGTAACTGTTTTTCAGTTATGGGTGACTTTTTTTTTCTTCAAGGAATTACTATTAGATTAGGGATAAATAAGTGTAAGGGCAGGGTGCATAAAACAAATCCTAACCTTTCCTTGTAATTCACCACCAGAGATATTTCTTATAGCCACTTATATGTGCATCATGGAAAGATATGTGAGCCCACGTAGTCTATTTTACTTATGCTCACTTAAAACAGTTATTAAGAAACAGACATATAATTGTGATGCACTAAAATTCTGCTGAAAGACTGCTGAAAAAGGTGATGAATGCGAGAGTTGATGGGAGAAATGCTAGAGGGAGGCCTAGGTTTGGGTGGATGGATGGAGAAAGGGGAGCCCTGAATGATAGGAGGATGGATGTGAGGGAAGCAAGAAAGTGTGCTAGGAATAGGAATGAGTGGCGAGCGATTGTGACGCAGCTCTGATGGGCATCTGCTGTTACCAAGGTGGCTGCATCTTACAGAGGTAGCCCTGTGGTAGGGGCAGTAGGAGGAGTTGGCAGTTGTGAAGCGACACAGGTTGTGGAAGAGCCGGGAGGATGGGCTGTGGCACTCCAGCAGTGCCATCTGAACGGTCGCTAGCTCCCTCGTCATTGCCCATAGAGCAAAGTAATCCCCTTATTGTTTTCTTTCTTTGATGTCGGCTACCCTCCAATTAAAGGAGGAAACAGCCAAGGTAGATAGAATAGACTAAAATTCCTACAAACAAATGAAGCATAAATGCTTGGTAAATCTCGCGCTATAATTACTATATTTTTATTTATAGATAAGCATCATTTTTGAGAGGTTCTTCTTCTTCTTCATCTACATCTTTTTCCCACTTTTATGTGGGGTCGATGTTTCTGGCCAGTACAGATCTTTCTCTTTTTCCCACTTTTATGTGGGCTCGAGTTATCTGTACTGGCCATATTTTGGTTTTGGCAAAATTTTTATGGCCGGATGCCCTTCCTGCCGCCAACCCTCCCCATTTACCCGGGCTTGGGACCGGCACCAAGTTGAGGCTGGCTTGCCCCCCTCAGTGGCTGGGTTTGTCGCATAGGGAACGCTAGGCCCCGAGAAAATCTCGGTTGCCCGCCGCCTGCCCGCCAGGAGCAGGAACGGCACACGCTCCGCGACCGGTACTGTTGTGGATAACATCTTACAAGTTCATCCCATCCTATTGCAGCTCTGCCCTTGGCGACACTGCCCGACAGGCTGCGTTCCCATTTCCATATGGGGTCGCATCAGACTCTCGACTGCTATCCATGGGTTTTGGCAAAAGGGTTTTACAGCCGGATGCCTTTCCTGACGCCAACCCTCCCCATTTTTCCGGGCTTGGGACCGGCACTGGGCTGCTATTTCTAGCAACCCAGAGAGGTTATTACACTTAATTGGCGTGTGTGGTGTTACAGATATCCACCAGTGAGAGTGGACGGGCCATGGTGGGCCCGTAGGTGAAATAATCTGAAACTGGAGTGAATGTAAAGATAAGAGAAAACATCAAAATGCTCCGCCCGGGGTTCGTAGTATCCTGCAAATTTTGTTGAGATGCTTAGGTTGAAAGGAAGAGGTAAGTCGTGATAGGATAGTGGTGAAGAAGGGAGTGGTGATGGCGCCGCTTGCACGCATTTAACCCCTGAGGGACCACCAGGATGGAAGGGTGAAAGGGGAGATAGGAGACGAAAACAAATTTATGAATATAACAAATGAAAAATAAATGGATGAACAAATTTTTTTTAATTTGGCATTTATATGAGACGTGATATGGAGGAACCCTGTATTGGATGGGAAGGTGAAATTTTGTCTTCCTAGCTCAGTATTACCTTGAACCACACCAACCCCGTTAATAAGAACAAATCGAAAAAAGCAACAGTATCACCAATATATACATCGTTGCTGCTATCCACATAATAACAAATTATTATTATGTCGTTGAACAAATTGAAATTATAGAAAAAGTAAGTAAATGCCTATAGCTGAGTGGTTCGAAGCGATAGGTCCCAAACGAGGTTTTTGGAGGTGGTTGGATGTACCCTGTACTCTGTGCTGGAGTCTGGACTGAATGGTTAGTTGTACGTGTACACTCGAGATGGTGAGTTGTGTAGCTGAAGTCTGCACCGTGTTTTATGAAAAAAAACAAACTTTTTTTTAATTAAAGTGTTGGAAGTTTTATGAAGTATTCTGAAACAGACCGTGTTACAAGTGACTTAAATGATTCTGTGTGGTGAGAGGTTCAGCCATTTATCAACACAACGCTTTTAAAATCCACGTGAAGGTTGGACTCTTTGGTATGTCTGTTGCTTTTATGTTATTTAGCAGAATTTTTTGGTAAAATGCTTACAAACCTTCAACGAGTGAAGTGAAAATACAACATATCGAAAACTATCATAAGCAATTAAAATTAAGCCTATTTTTTTCATCTTTACTAGTGGAATTATCCCGTAGCGAATTTTTTCCTGCCTGGGTTTGTGAAAGGAAACTTTTTTGTTTTTTTTTCCCCTCGAAGTGAGAATTAACATTTGTTAATTCATGCATTTGAAATTAATTTGTTTGGAAGTTAATGTGGTCGCAGAACGAGTAGTAATTATTTAAGCACCCCATTTATTAACCAGAGTTGGGGGTAATTATTAAATGCCATAAGTGTAATCATTACAACATCTATTCAAGAGTCAATCTCATATTATTTATATAATTAATTTACAGCATGAAGCTTGTTACGCTTTGCGAATCTGTGAAAACGAGGTTATGAAGACATTTTTCTAGTTATTTGCATTTCTTTTTCTTTTTCACGACAGTAAATCTATTCTTAAAGTTCCTTATGTGTGGGTCACTCCCCAAACAGATATTCCTATTATAAGAATATTCTTACCTACTTCAAGGTCCTGTTAGGGTAGGTTAATCTGTAATTACTTTTAGATAGTGTGAATGGGTCCAAGCAAACAGGAACACGTGATCGATTTTGGAATATTATTTGGTACGATACTGTATTTATATATTCATATTTTTCACGAACATTTGTTAATTATGAGTACCCTGTATTATCTTTTAAATTAAATATTATTGTTCTTATTTTTTTTTTTTTATGAAGTTAGGAGCCTTGAACGTACTGGTATATTTGAAGCAAATTTTCAGTATAATCTCCAAGACCTCATTTGTGTGATGGAAGAATTTCACAGGAAATGGTAATCTAGTGACAGATAATATAGAAACTGGAGATAAAGTCCATTTTCCCGTCATGTTCCTAGATGAGTACTGCATTAAAAATATACTCTACAGATTTACTAGATATAGAACATTAATTACTCATAAGAATCTGCAGTACTATTAGAACCTCGCATATTTCGGTATTGGATCAATTTTTCATGTAGTAGATGGGCCCATGTCTTCAGCTGCCCGTTTTGATACTACAGATGAAAGTCTCTTGGACTTTTAATAGGACTGTTTAGGACAGTTCATTGTTGTCTTCCTTCAGTTACGATTCATTTTCTATGCCTGCAGCATCACCGAATATTCTTGGATATTCGTTACACATCTCTTGTCATCCCTTCACAAGTCACAGCAGTCTCCATCTCTGTTTGTACTTTGTTTTCTTCGTGCGTAGGCCCGATGAGAGCAGTTTTTTCCATCTTCGTGTCACACATAAAATAGAAGGAAGGCTTAGTACGGTTGTAACTAATAGGTCAGGTAGTTCGTATGCTCGCCATCGTCTTCCAAACCACATTATTATTATTATTATTATTATTATTATTATTATTATTATTATTATCATCATCATCATCATCATCATTATTGTTGTTGTTGTTGTTGTATTTGTTGTGGTTATGGCCAACGTAGCCGAGTGATAACGCTTACGACTTTGATTCGTCAAGTTGTGGGTTCGCGCCCCGCCACGTCTGAGGTTAAATGGGCATTCACTCACGGTAACGGTCGCACATGCTAAAATTAAAGCCCTTCGTATGAAGTCAACTTCTTAGCCCTAAAAAAAAGGGAATTTGACGTAAAACTGGGCGTATTATTATTATTATTATTATTATTATTATTATTATTATTATTATTATTATTATAAATATCGGCTCATTTAATGCAGCCTTTATTATTTTATGTCATTAAGTAGCCTATGTATAATACAAAATAAGGACTTTAATATTCCAAATGAAAATTCAGGTGCAGCTTGGGAGAATGATGAAAGTTTTATATTATAGTGGCAGGTTGAAAAACATACCTTTTGCAATGTCAGGTTGTCTCCTACGCTAGCGTGGATACAGTAAATTTTTATATATTACTCTGTACTTGAGCAATTATTTTGGCTTACATAAAAAAATAATTAAGGTTAATGAATATTATTTTGTCAAATATTATGTTTGTCATGAACGGTGTACTGCAGTCGTGAATTACCGAACTATCTTCTGTAATCGTTTGACACAACAGCTTTTACCCGTAAGCTATTTTAGTCTCATCTGACTTCATCTGGTTTGTATTAGTTCGATATTATATGAATGTATGTATATTATTATTATTATTATTATTATTATTATTATTATTATTATTATTATTTTTCTTACCTAATTGTGCCCATAGGAAGGAGCCTTATGCTCGTAACTCCCCGTCTCCTAGTTGTATTAATTTTTAATCACTAATCTTATATATCTGTTGTTTGCCATTTTAAGTTAATTAATCCCCAGCATGGTGGGAATAATGCAACATGGAGGGAATAGGTAAAACGTACTTGATGAAGGAATTTCATAATTATATTATTTAGTGGTTCAAAAGAATTTTAATTCTACACCATTTGGAACACTAGATGTATGGCGTCATTAATATAGTTTTGATATACATTTATCAGCTGAAGTGCTTGGAGTATTAGAACGCGTCGGACGTGAAAGTACTTGAAAGTACTTGAAGACATTATCAAAGTACTTTGGGAATTTTATCTAAGACTCAGCTTTTTCTTCCATTTAAATTTGTACCCTATACAATATTCTCTCTCTCTCTCTCTCTCTCTCTCTCTCTCTCTCTCTCTCTCTCTCTCTCTCTCTCTCTCTCTCTCTCTCTCTCTCTCTCTATTGATAACTATTCAGTAATGGTATGATAGGTACAGTAATGTTAAGGAATATAACATACTGACTAAGAGGTTATTACCGTCGCATACGCTTCAATTGAACACATGGCGTGAAACTTGCATAAATAATTCACTTAAGACCGTCGCGTACGCTTCAATTGAACACATGGCGTGAAACTTGCATAAATAATTCAATATTAAACTCCGGTTTGAAAACGAGAAAGCTCAACAGAATTATGTCAAGGAGTTACCGTAAGAGCTCCAATCTCTGTTGTTGCCAGTCATTCAAGCGATGATGCACTTTACAATGAGATTTGTGGAGTGATGCAATAACAGAATTTGGAAATTGGTGCGAAATTGGGGTTGAGAATTAGATTTTTAACGGGATGTACCAAGTTTTGGTCGTAACAGTTAAGGAATTGATATTTTCTAAAGGGAAGTATTTGTAATTATGAAGATAATTATATTTACAGTATAAGTTTTCGTATAAAAAAAATCTTGTCACAAATACAAAGTATAAATCTTAGGCCTAGGGATTTATCATGCAAAAACTAAAAAAATAATGCGATTTGATTTTTAGGCCTAGTTATTTAAACGGGTGGGCCTAGGACGTAGGTATAGTATAGTAATACCTTAATATGGATTATTAAGACACTTGTGGTGATACCGTATCTTGTATATCAATTCTCATATTGTACGTTAGGTAACTGTATTTTCTATATATATATATATATATATATATAATATATATATATATATATATATATATATATATATATATATATATATATATATATATATATATATGAGAACGAAAAGTTTATTTGCATATGATTACATGTTTAGTATATCGCTCATTTATTTTTAGTAACAGCATATGCCGCAAACAGGAACAAAGCCTGTTATGTACAGTATATTCATCTGATTGTGATATGTATTGGTGGAATGTGAACACCTGTTCACGGACATTGTTACAGGCTAACTCGTATATCAGGAGAACAGCAACTGAAATATAACTACGTTTGTTCACTTATGGACTAATCTGGTCTCTCTTTTCAGATATGAAATAAGCCACTGAATATGGCGATTGACGTCTGACTACTTCATGCCATAATATTTCGTCCTGCGAAGAGGGAGCCAAATTTGAATCGACGCCAGGAATTAAATTTGTATAAAAAAAAACCAGGATGGCTAATCACGATTCTCATTCTCATCATGGAGCCCTTTTCACCCCTTCCTTGGACAGTCCACGAGGTAGTTATTATTATTATTATTATTTTTAGTAGTTGTAGTAGTAGTACTAATGTTCGCATTTTGGCTCTTAAGAAAATCACAAGTTATGAGATTTTCTTTCCCAGTGCTTAGAGAGGTTACTTTGCGTGCTTGAACCAGGAATAATCTTAGTTTTCATTTATTTTGTTCATACCATTCTGAATATTAAGGATTTTACGACATTTTACTATAAATCAGCTGGGAACATTAATTTTTTCACGTCGATTATATTTATCGTTATCAGAAAACGATAGATTGAGCTTCGCCGGGAGGGGGGAGTTGTATATTAAAGTTTTGAATATTAAAACCTTAAACACTTGCCCTATTAGATACAAGCACGACAAAATAGAATCTGAATTCCAGATCAAAACTTAGCACGAGGGTCTGCCCCTCTCTTTTTTTTTTTATCTCTTACTTTATTTAATTTTCGTGCTTTTCCCTCCAATTCCCTTATATCTTTAATCCCCTCCCTTTTTTCCCCTCCTATCCTATCCCATCCTAAAAGATACAAGCAAAATAAATTTGTTTTAGGAATACTAAACTATGTATCAAAAACACTTCAATATAAGTTGCTAATCAATCTCATTTGAAGCCTCCGTGACTCAGCCCATTAGGCTGTGGACTTCTGTTGTACAGGTTCATGGTTCGAATCCTTACAGTGTAATACGTCAAATTAATAAGTTTTAAAACCTTTACATTTAAAGCTTCATAGATGGACAGCGTAGGTAAAACTAAGATGGTTTAAGCATGTGTTTCCCGGGGATAAGGTGCATGTTGGGAAAATGCTATTGAGGATGGACGTGCCAGGCAGGAGGGGAGCGAGGAAGGCCAAAGAGGAGGTTTATGGATGTGGGAAGGGAGGACACGTGGGTGTGTGGCGTGATGGAGGAGCACGCAGGGGATAGAGCGATATGGAGACGAAAGATCCCCTGTTGCGACCCCAGACGGGAGAAGCCTAAATATTTGATTGTTTAATATAGAATGATTCTTTGTGGAATGTTATTAGTTCTAATTGATCCCGAGTTTCTGTTGGTTCTGGTGATGAAAACTGAGGGTGACTCACCCTGGTGAAGATGGATGGATTCGGTTTTACGTCACGAACTCCCTTTTGTACTAAGGGCTAGGACGGTTGCCTTCTTACGAAGGACTTGTTTTGGCAGATGTCATCGTTACCCTGAGAGTATGCCCTTACTAATCTCAGTCCGTGACGGGGCGCGAACCCTCGACCTGCCGCCTCAGAGTCGCAGACGCAGTTGAACTCTAAAAGTTTTGAAATTGGGAGCTACTCGTGAAGTCCACATACCGAATTGCTGTTTTAGGCCTACCTCAGTACCAAAGAATGTAGAATGATATATATATATATATATATATATATATATATATATATATATATATATATATATATATATATATATATATATATCACCTGGTTAGTTGATGTTAGGCCTAAATATCACTCTTTCCCAATGGTAAGTGTATGAGAATGAAGAGACCTGAAGTGCGTGTTCAAGTTGGACTATAACTGGCTGAAACTAGTAGCCTTGATTAACTAAATTAATGTTAACAATCCCGTTTATCGAATTAACACATCAAGTTCAGGCATATATATATATATATATATATATATATATATATATATATATATATATATATATATATATATATATATATATATATATATATATATATATATATATATATATATATATATATTACTGTTTTGGCTGTATGTTGAACACGCTCAGAATGTCAGCTTGGTTTGTTTAGATTTGGTGAATTCCTTTTATAGCTTGGTTTCCAAAGACTATGAGATGTTACGGAGTGTACTGAAATACCTTACAAAATTTCATAAACTTTCTCTGCTTCTTTATATGTAAGAATGAAATTAAGAGGATCACATTCTTCTCTCTCTCTCTCTCTCTCTCTCTCTCTCTCTCTCTCTCTCTCTCTCTCTCTCTCTCTCTCTCTCTCTCTCTCTCTCTCTCTCTAACATCAGTGCAAATTCAGTTTTGCATAATATTCCCTAATTTTTTCTTTTCACTGAAAGTAATTGTCGGATTCGTCTCAAAGAACACTGTAAATAAAGTATGGAATGTCGAATCTAGGTAAAAATATCGCAGGTAAAAAGGTCACATCAAAAAATCAGGGAAAATTCTAGCCAACCTAACCTAACATGTGACTTTTTGTCAATGACTTTATTACCGGCCACGGGCATGTTCCTTATGGCAGTATTTTACAGTTTCTGAAAACTCTATTTTCAGTTTTGTCACGTATTTGAAATTTAAACATTGTGCTTCTCACTTCTACGAATAAAAACGCCTATACTCGTACATTCAGCATCTAATCATTTTGACCAGATTTTTTTTTTTTTTTGTATATAGAGCCTTTACTTTCCAACATTTCCTACTTCAGTACTGTGTAGAATGGATAAACTTTACATGTTTTTCAAAAGGAGTTTTACAATATAGAATAATCTAGTGAGGTATGCCAAGTTCTGGCTCTTCATGCAGTGCTGAGCACTCCAGATTCCTTCTGCTCTTTTGCTAGACTCTGCTGACTGAATTAATTTA